AAATCCAGTGATGTATTTTAATACTTTTGAAAAACATATTTCATCAGACAAAGATAAGTTCTTATAATAGCTTGCATATGCTTGTTAAGCGTGGACTAAGTTATAGAGTTTCATACTTTTATCATAAACCATTCCCACATACCTGTCTTGAGAAACGCATTGTTGGAATTAATTTGAAATGGCGAGCATCGAACCTATTTTAAGGTAGGCCTCTCTCTCTCTCTCTCTCTCTCTGTGAGTTGGAGTTTCCCTTAAAGCGAGTTTCCCTTAAAGCCCATACCCAACAAGTAGAGGCATATGTGGTTGCATACTCCATCTTGTAATATGTTAAAAGGAAACGTTACATAGAAGGTGGTTGCAAAATACAATTTCAAAATTAAGAAATTAGGTTTATTATTTTAAAAATCAGGTTATAATTAAATTTTATTAAACAAATAAATTTTATAATTAACTATATTAAGATTACGATTATACAATTTAAAATTACAATTATGTACTTATATGTCATAACTTATTCACCGGTCACATATTATCAAATCAATTGGTCACACATTATCTATCGATCACAAATAAAAAAATTTATAGGTCATAATTTATTTATTGATCACAAATCACAAATATTATAGGTGATAACTTATTTCTCAATCACAAATTATCAAATTAATTGATCACAAGTTATTTCTCAGTCACAAGTTATTGACTCAATTGGTCACAACTTACTAAATTTTGAGTTACGATTATAAATTTAGTCACAAAATCAAAATACATTACTTTAGGTCACATATTATTTATTGGTTACAAATTAACTAATTTATTAGTCACTGTACCTAAATAATTGATCAAAAACACTCTTTATCCTGCTACACTGCCACTACCATTGCCATTAGCGCCACCACCACCACAACACGCAAACCTAATTTCTCTTAGGTGCATCGCCTGTGCCTGGCTTTGCGAACAACAGTTTCAGCAGCAGCATCGACGCTGCACCAAAATATATATCATCCAGGAAGTTGAGTGATTCCCCCTACGAACAACAACACGACTCTGCTGTTGCAGTAGAACTAACACTACAACGAATAGAAGCGCGAGGCGCTGTGGGAGATGCTACTATTGCAGCCTTGTTCACGCAGCACTGCACATGGCAGTGCTTGTCATTGAGCTTCGCTGATGTGAAAGTTGGGGAGATTGTAGCTGTGAAACAGGGGAGAGAGAGAGAGAGATGGAATTATCACCCTATCTTTATATAAACGAACTTCAAACTTGATTTTTTAAAGGGTAATTGGCACAAAACGTCCCTATCTTTTAAGCCTATTGTGGAAAAAGTCCCTACCTTTCATTTTTTGGCATTTTTGCCCTTATTTTCACATTTCTTTGCGCTGAAAATCCTTTTTACCAATTTTTGACATAAAATGACTAAAATACCCTCCTATTTAAATAAAACAAAAAAGAAAAGAAAAGAAAAATAAAAATAAATTGCAACTATAAGCCTAAACTTTTAAAAATGCAAAAAACCCCCCTAAATATAACTTCATCTTCTTCCCAAACATCACCCCCACAATACAGCCGCCATCCACCTCACCAACCACCGCCTGAAACATCATTTTTAGGCTGCCTTTTGAGCAGGTTTTGGACAATCAGTCGGATTTGAATTTGCAAACTGGGAGATGCCAGTTCGATCAACTTACATAACACAAAATAGTGTATTCAATTGAGACTTTTAAAAACTTTGGGAGACTTTTTAAAGTGAGTGACTTTTGTGGACTTTGTGGAATTTCAAGTGATTTCTATGGATTTAATTGAAATTAATAAAAGTTTTTTTCTGAATTTGTGGAGACTTTTACTAGAGACTTTTAAAGACTTTGAAGAATTTTGAAGACTTTTTAAAAGAATATATTAAACATATATAATGTAATGTGTTTAACAACTTCTTATATATTCAAATCGTCCACAACTTATATAATTGAAAATGTAAAGTAATAAATCGTATTTCTCATGTCAATTTTTTCCCAAATATAAAAAAACAAATATTTCGCCAAACATAAAGTACTTTTTCATCTTATATCAAGTAGATTAACAAATAATAAAAATATTAAAAAAATAGTATTTTGGTAATGATCAACAAAAGAAAAAAAATCAAACATTTCCAACATCATTCCACATGTTCGCTGCTAGACTAGCCCTCCATGCATTAGCATTCTCTCTTTCTTGTTCTTGACTCTCAAAAAATGGTCCAAAATCTTCCCCTTCATTAATCAAAAAAGATGAAGAATCTTCGTTATTGGGTTCGACTGGAATTCATCGGACCGACATTCTTTCCGAAGAAAATTATGTAATCCTGCACAAGCTAGTACGAGTTCGGCTTGTGTACGATATGGAAATGGAGGAGCTGTTTTGAAAATTGTGAATCTTGATTTAAATATACCAAATATCCTCTCAACTACGTTCCTTAAGGAAGCATGACGAAGATTAAACAACTCTTTTGTATTTTCAGGGTCACGACCTTGACCGGCAAAATCTTGAAGATGATAACGGACACCTCGAAAAGGAGTTAAAAACTGAAGTCGATTTGGAAATCCACAGTCTCCCAAAAAATATTTACCTGAATATAAAATACTTGTAAAGTTAACAAGTAATTACGAAACAATAAGATAAAAGAAAAAATGAAATAATAAAGTTGTACCTTGTGGCACTTTAAGTCCATTTCTTCTTGTTAAAGCATCACTCAACACTTTAGAATCATGTGCTTATCCCTCCCACCCACTAATCACGTATATAAATTCCAAATCAAAGTTACAACCGGCCAAAACATTCTGAGAAATTGTTCCATGACGATTTCTGTAACTGCTTGTATCACGTCCAGTTACCATTGCTGGAATATGGGTACCATCAATAGCTCCAATACAATCCAAAAAATAATAAAACAGTACAACAAATTCATGAGAACACTAATGAAAAGATAAAAGAAAAATTATAATACGTCTTATTTCATCACTTACTTTAAAGTATGGATAAAATCTTGTACTTTCCCTTATTTTTTCTGGCACAACGAATCTCGGTTTGACCATCATATCTACCGCAAATTTGTTTAATGTCTGTAAAATCTTGTTGAAACTTCGGCTAGTAGTGAAATGTGATCGACCAAATTTTTGACGAATCAAGCAATATCTAGTATTCTGACCAACAATAAGTAGGAACGTTGCAAGCATTTCTTCAACACAAATATACCTAGTATCCTGTAAGGGTGTTTTTTCTCTAATAATATTGCTTAATTTTAGAAATATATCTGGATACATTCTATAAACTTGTCGAAAGTTTTCTGGATCCTCCTTTAATATTTTATGTATATAGTCATATCCATATCTAGTTTTCGGTCGTCTAGTTAGTGAACGTGTAATACGTGCACAATGCATATTATTTACAAGATCATTTATCACATAGAGAATTGCTTGAATTGTCATCCATAAATACCGTCTGGTTTCATACCAGTCTCTATAACCTGAACAACATCAATGAAAATTTAGCAAAATGAATATTTAGGATCGATTCAACACATCAAAAATCAAGAATTCAAATGAAAATAATAAATGAAACCAAAAATCCACACAGTTGTCAAGCCCAGTTGTTCTGCTCATTGCATCAGCCGGCTTAATTTCTGGCCCGAGTAAGCTGTCCCTAATTGTAAAGTTTGACATGTTCAATGTGGAAGCCATCTGGTTTACTTTTAACCTTAAATTTGCAACCATATCCTTGCACCGATTCATTTGTGATCTCTTTATGTTCAGTAGGTAAGAATTAATTACCACTTAGATTTATCAAGCCTCATCTTTTAGATCTAATAACCATGAAATTCTATATGTTTAACTCATAAACATTAAACTAAAATGATAAATTCATAACTCCATTGAAAAAATCATAACTTCAAAACTTGAATTATAATAACATATTATACACACAATGTTTAACTCATAACCATTAAACTAAAATGATAAATTCATGACCCCAGGTGAAAAGATCATAACTTCAAAACTTGAATTATAATAACATATTATACACACAGACACATACATACATACATAACAACCCTCCTCAATATTCAAAATTTGAGAAATAATACGATAAAATAATGGAGCTCTAGTCAGATTGAAGAAATCGACACACATTAATGATGCTGTCTTTTGACTTGAATTAACACTATTAATTAGAATGGACACGTCGAAAAAGTTTCTCACATATGACAAAATCTTTCATTAAAACCATTAATAACCCCAGCCAGATTCGAGGAATTCAACGTCGCAGCTTTGTTTGTTGATGTATTAAATTATATGGTTATAGAAAAGTGTGGCTCTATATAAAATAGTTAAAGATTGTCGAGGGTGTTGAATTTCAGGCCGGAAAACGTGCTTTCCTGCGGGTAAAAAATCTCCAGAACTGCTTGCTTCTAGTTTGCAATTTTGGAGATGAGTTTATCCATAAATCAAACAAAATACTCATAGAGGGAGAGATAGAGAGGTGGAAATCGTGATTACCTGATTGAAAGAGATGGAGGAGAAACCCTAGAAGAAGAACAATCGGCCGGCTTGTGAGAAATCTCTCGTTGGATGAGAGATTTGTGTTGTGAGAATTCTATGGACTTTCTCTACCAAAAGTCTCTGAGATTCTACGAAAATATTAATTCCCCGAAAGTCTTTATTAATTGAATACCTCGAAACTTGTAGAGACTCTTATAAAGTTTTAATTGAATACCTCGAAACTTATAGAGACTTTTTAAAAGTCTTTAAAAGTCTCTATTGAATACACCCAAATTTTTAGAGAGTCTTTAAAAGTCTCAATTGAATACACCGAAATTTTTTAAAACTCCCAAAGTCTTTAAAAGTCACAATTGAATACACCCCCCTAAATCCAACTTTCAAATCAAAACTCATGCAACAATTCAAAAAATCTAAATTAAGATCAATAAAAATAAAGACAGGTCAATTGCTCGTAAGGCATTTACAGGAGCTCAATTTCTCCCACTAAGTCATTAATTATCATAAAAGGAATAAAATTTAATTAAACAACAAAACCCTGAATCCAATAATCACAATCAAATTCGTCAACTATAAAACACAGAATCAATCCAAATTCCAAATCAAACAATTAAGGAAAAAAAATCTATAATAGGAAACTAAAAAATAATGGCAGATCTAAGCAAAACCGTAAAAGAGATGGAATTTGACGACACCCGAATCCTTGATTGTAGATATCAATGGAAACAGAGACACGCTCAGAGCCAGATTTGAGCCTTGTGAATGGGCCTCCTGAACTGGCAATAGTCGATGAGGCCAAAAAAGAATCGCCAAGAAGAATAAATTCAGAGCAATTTTTTCTTAAGATTTTGAATTTTTAGAATGAATGATGCAATTTAGGGTTGTGGTCTTGTGGAATGCCAATAATGTTCCTCTTTGTGTTTGACCTCCTCCGGGGCATCGTTTTCATTGACGGATTGGGCAGGCACCCTGAAAATGAACGTTTTAGGTTGTGGTTGGTAAGGTGGAGGGCGGCAGTGGAGTGGGTGTTATGTTTGGGAAGAAGATGAAGTTATATTTGGTTGGGGGGGGGGGGGGGGGGGGGGGGGGGATGGGTTTGCATTTTTAAAAGTTTAGGCCCTTCGTTGCAACTTATTTTTCTTCTTCTTTTCTTTTCTTTTTTGTTTTATTTAAATAAGATGATATTTTGGTCATTTTATGTCAAAAATTAGTAAAAAGGACGTTCAGCGCAAAAAAAGGTAAAAATAGGGACAAAAATGTCAAAAAATGAAAGGTATGGACGTTTTCCACAATAGATTTAAAAGGTAGGGACGTTTTTCGCCAATTGCCCATTTTTTAAATTGGAACTTAAAAAAACTTGTCTCTATGTAATTTCTACTATATTAATAGGGATGAACACGATTCAATTTAAGCATTTTTTTAGCTAACTTTAAATCAAATATTTATAAACAATTTGAGAATTTCAAACCAACAAAACCATTTCGTTTTCCAAATTTTAACCTTTTTTTTTTTTGCAATTTAATTTGATTATAACCACTATTTTAGCAATATAAAAATGACACCTTTAAAATATTATTTTGAAATTTAACTATAACGCACTTGAATTGTTACCTTCTAAATATAAACATAACAATACTAATATAATGGGTAATTGGCATAATACGTCCATACCTTTCAAGTTTACTGTGAAAAACATCCCTATATTTTATTTTTTGCATTTTCATTCTTTAGATAAAAAATATTTCATAAATGAATTATGATCCGTTTGATTGCAAAGATGGAACTTGGGGTGAAAAAAACGAATTTCGGATAATTAAATTGTCTAAAACTTATTTTCCTGGGAATTGTCAATTTAATGTGTTTGATTGGTAAAATTTTTCACCTGAAAAATGTTGAAATTTTCTTTCTTTTTGCATTCGTTTGGTTTTGCTTTTCATGAAAATTGTCAATTAAAAGGACAAAATTTGTTACAATTGAGGATAGAATTTGTTCCAATTGACCAAAAAAAAAAAAAAAGGCTAGAAAACCAATTCTCACCAAAATAAGAATTGATTTTTCACAAAATCATGTAATTGGCACATGTGTGGAGGAAAGATGGAAATCAATTTGCATGGAAAATATTTGCTATCAAACACTACCAAAAGATGAAAAAATTTCCATGGAAAACATGCCTAATCAAGCAGGCTCTTATTGTTTTTATAAAGATTCAATTGATTAGCAAGTATATTGTTCAAGTGTACATTGATCTAAGTCTAACAAATAATTTTAATTGGCTTAAATGTATTTAAAAATAAATAAAATTGGATGGATATTTCTATTTTATTTCAAGCAAATTTAACTAACAAAATCTGTACACGACCATTTTCAAATGATTTGGTTTGATTTTGAAACGGTCAAAACCCAAATCACATAAACTCAAATCAACAACTTCAAAATCACGATTTTGGTAAGATTTGACATTTCACCCAACTTTCTATTTCCCCTCAAGTTCTCTCTTTCATATTCCAAATTAAATAGGCATTTCTTTGGTTCTAATTTTTCGAAAATCATTTTATTCAAACAAATATATTTTAGATTTCTTCTTAAGAAAGAAAACGCGTTCGACCTTGACTAAGTCAATTCACGGTACTGGCTCAAAATGGTCCACCTGTCTACTTCAAAAATTATTTCTAACGAATAAGTAATAGATTATTGGACGACAATTGTTATGACAATTGATATCACAACACAACAAAGATCGTAAAAATGAATTATTTATTTTTCAGTGCAAGTTTCATGGATGTTATTCAACGTATGTTGCAGCATTAGGCATACATTTGAAGTAGTTTATTCTCAGTATTGCAGTAGTATCTCCATGTACAAACCGCAATGAGGACTCGGACATTCTCAATTTGGAGATAAAACATACATCTTACAATCGTGGGCGATCACGCTAGCTGAAATTTTTCCGTTGACAGACTTTTGTGTCGAATGCTGCAATTAGCACGAAAATATTAATAAACAGTTCGACATAGAGTACATTAATATGCGCGTTAAAACTTACCGCCCATAAATCACGAGCATCAACAATTGTTGTCGAATTGAGGCCTATGTCGGACCAATAAGCAGTAATTGTAGCTTCCGAAGATCCTCTGTTCCATAGTGCTACTACAACTCTGTTTTGGCTAAGCAGCCCTGCCCAGACCTGTAAATCGCTATCCTTAATCTTTTTCCCTTGGACGCCTAGTTTATCTGGCCTCGAAGCGAAAGTTCAAACACTTAAATTTGATCATTTGATGTTCAATGTGACAAACAAAAGGAAAATATGAAGTTGTGCTATTATTGTTACTCACCCTGATTAACTGCAATGACCTCTTGATTGCTTAACAGTTCTACAGTAACTTTGTCCATTGAACGAATGTCACAGCCGATCAAGAGTGGAGCCTATATCCAAGAATGAAGAAGTGTACAGGAAAGTGAACACTTCTTACCAGTGTCTGATTAAGGCATGCTTTAATACTAGTAGTGCAGCAGAAATTTTATAATCCTGTTGTAAGTTTTCGTTACTTACTTTCATTAATGCCCATATGCTGAAATGGGATCGATATTCTTCGGTAGTCATGCCACCATTGCCAACTTCCAACATATCGGGATCTACAAACAATCAATTTCTATTACGACACTGTTTTTGTGCATTTGATGTTGTAGTGATGAATAAATATCAAGAACTTACCATTCCATCCACCTGGTCCTGCATAAGCGGCCCATTTGTCATTAAGATCTGCCCTCGAAGTCATACTATCAAGACAAAACATTAATTGAAGGGATCCACACGCTAATACCATATTCCATAAATATGCACGCACCAATAATGTACTAGACTACGGGAGCAACAATGATGTTAAATACCAGTTTATGTGTCAGCATTTCATAGATCATATTAAATAGATCATAATTCATTGTATTTAACAGAAACTGTAATTTATTGTAACTAGTGCTGTCACCTAGATCAGTGCCAAATACCAATGGTGTTAAATAGCAATACTCGTGTAATGTTAGATAAGCCGTTCAAGCTCAACACAGGCCAACCCATCATGTTTATGGATAGGCTCACTCTGCCAAGCAGCATCCTTATTCCTCCGGACCCATGTGGACCACTTTAAAACATTGTCCAACAGCCTCTAATTGACTAAAATAGGAAATGGGATTGATGTGATAAACCAAGCACAGGAGAATGAGTATAACTGCTTGTTTAATCAGTTTGATTATCTTTTGGTTAGTTACAGGCTGGTGTCAAACGACCGAAACATGGCCATGCCTAGCCACAGAAGTTTTCCAAAACATTGAACTTGCATCGGCCAAACGATGACCCAGATTTCGACTGGCAAAATGTGGGTCAAGCCGGTCCAGTCGAGCATAGTGAGGAGCTTTGTTAGTTCACCTGTCCCAGTTATCAGAAATGTCTCCAGTAGTTCTCCAACTGTTCCCAATAGACTTGGCCCAAGTTGCAGGATCTTCAACCCCCCTGTAATTAAGACAACAAAGTACAAAATAGTCTGATGAATCAATATGCATCAACGTATGACGACACTTCTTCGCTACCACAGAAATAACTCACCATTCACATAGAGAAAAAAAGATGGACCTTCCCGAATTCAGTAAAGCATTCGCCATTACAGGATACCTATTTTACCAAACGAAGAAACCGGAAATGAACTGTTATATTTTTACAAATATAGATAATATTGGTGGGACAAATTAATACCTTTCCTTTGGGCTTTTCCCATTATCGTTACAATTATCATACTTCAAGTAATCAATCCCCTGTTTATGGAAAATAAACTACTATTGCGTTTCATTTCATCCCAAATATAATACAAATGCAGATTATAAGACTATACAGACCCATGAAGCAAAAGTTTTGGCATCCTTTTCTTCAAATCCTAGTGACCCGGGCATTTTTTTACTGCAAGTCTGAGTTCTGCAAAATTAACACCACCAATACAATCCATAAATAGAAAGAGCATATTTTGTTTGTGGCATTAGTTAAGTAGCTACTCACTCACCCAGCATCGGAGTATATCCCGAGCTTTAAGCCTTTGCTATGAACATAATCAGCCAGTGCTTTGATTCCAGAGGGAAATGATGAAGCTTTGGGAACAAAATTCCCCTGCCATTTAATTATATAAATCACACAGAATAATGAAATATGAAGAAGAAAACAACCATTGAGTTACCTGAGAATCTCTATCCAATTCAGCCCAGCAATCATCTAAAAAGACCAAAGATGAAATCATTTCAAAAAATAATAATAAAAGGCTAACTGATATCAAAATCATACCTAGGTTTATATATTCATATCCTAGTGCAGCAAGCCCAGTTGATACCATTGCATCAGCTGCCCAAAAAAATTAGACTTATTAAGAAATTAATTGATTTTCAAAAAATTCAAATAACGACTCGCTCACCTGTTTCCCTAATCAATTTCTCTTCTATGTTACAATGAAAATGATTCCAGCTGTTCCACCTGATATGTCGACCACTATATAATTTCAAAACACATTCGATATTTTTACCAAACAAACAGGAAATATATATATATGTGTGTGTTACCCCATCTGAGGCGTTAGGCCAAGGCCATTTTCGATTAGCTTCTTCCGAAACTGCAATCCGCGTCGAGCCCATGTCGTGTCAGCACCTAACAAGAGTGCAACAATCACTACTACTCGAGCCATTAGAGAAAAATATCGGAAACTATTCATAATTCTAAGACACTTGATGGAGAGGAGAGGACAGGAGAGGAAAGAAGAGGAGCTCTATATCTATGAATAGAAAATAACCCCCTCCAATGAGTGTTGCTGCTGAAGTTGGACGTATATATCAAGGCAAGCTTTCGCCATATAGAGAAAATTCATCGGGATGTCATGACTTGACTCTACTCGACGACCCTTGTCGGTCCTCTTTGTTTTGCATATTTGGCAGTTGATGGAATAGCCATTTATATTTGTATATTCTTGAGTCTTGCGCACAACAATCTTGTCCTTGTGTCTAAGGGACGTAATGCGTGGGTTTTCATCGTAAGACGCTAGCTGTACAATGTATATCTTGACAAAATCCAGGTGGAAATTTGCACAAATGGTTCTAACTTATTGAATAATGCTATTTACTCTCATTGGAGCTATATGTAATATTAACTGATAGGTTAAATGAAACGTAAAATTGAATGACTCGTTTAATTTTATTTATCATTTAGCACCACATAGACATGATTATAACTTCAGTGGAACTAAATAGTATTATTCTAACTTATTTGAATTGAATTCTTCCAAAATGGGAGTACAATTTTGCCCTTATTCATTGCATCACTTGACTATTGAGGAGCGAGTGCGAACTTGAAGGGACAGAAACCTTTCAGATGGACCATCAACCAAGAGATTCACGAAGTCAATGCGAGTTCAGAGAATTACAACTAAATTCGCATAGCGGCCATTTGTGCAGATTTCCGTTCTTGATTTTATTAAATGGGCGACGTCTTGGTCTTAGACTGTTAAATCAAGAGGGTATATCGTTTGAAATTGCTTTGTGTAGTTGAAAAGTTGAGAACGGAAAATACAAGTCAAACATAGTGATTGAAGCAGAATACAAGATGGATTTGATCAAATTGTGATACAACTTTAAAAATTTTATTAAAAATCAGAGAAAAATAAGCTTCAATTAGTTCTGTAGTAAGAAAACTTAACTATTAACTAAAGACTTATATACCCAGTTAAAACAATCAATTAAAGAAAAGCGACAAAAAATTTTAAAAAAAATAAAATAAATTAAATTAAATCACTTTCTGGTTGCATCATCGATCATAGCCCAAATCATTGCATTATGAATTTTTCTTCATTGTGTTAGGTAGCTTACTGTCTACTTAAATTATTGAAGTGTATATTATCAATGGTCCCCAACATTAACACATCAATTTTTTCCTCAATTTTTATTTTGCAACATTTCTATCTTTAACTTTTGAATAATTAACAGTGATCCTCCTAATATACAAATTTATCATTTTCTTTAATTAACAAACTACTAGTCCTTAACACGTGCGTTGCACGAGTTTTATATTTATTGTATTTTTATTAGCGTCAAAATTGTAGATTTTTCAAAATTGGTTGAAGATTCGAATTATTTGGTAAAATCCAATCGTTTCATTCATTACATTAACGCAAGATGCATGGAAATTTCTTTCTCGTGTTATATTTTTTCCTCATTTATTTATTTTTTATTTGTTTTATTCATATTATAAATATTTTTTTCGATTTAAAATACTTTTTAATTCTTTTTTCTTTATGAAAAAACTTAATTTTTTCAATTTTAATTAAAAAATATTTATACTGTAAGAAAACACTGCAACACGCAATTTCCACACCTCCTAAAAAATTTAAAAATAAAAATAGTATAAGACAGAAAATATTTTACAAAAAGTTACTTGTAAGTAAAAAATTTGAAGAGAAAGGAATTAAAAGGAATTTAAATTGAAAAAAAAAAATTATTTGTAATGTAAAACTACGATACTGATTTCTCTCGGCACCATATTCATATGTATTTATATTTTGTGCTTTATATATATTTAATAATTATTTTATACTTATGTTGAAAGAATAAGAATTTGGAAAAATTTTTGAAATTCGGTTTGATAAGTGAATGTACGGTGTATATAAAAGGTATATAATAACCATTTGGATGACCAAAAAATAATACCAATAAAAATGTTTACGAACTGTTTAAATAATAATTTATTGAAGGGGTTAATTCAAGAACAAATGTATGAATTCCATAAACATATGATTGAAAATATGTTTGAAGAAAATTAAATTTTAAAAAATAAAGACCAAATATGTTAACAAATGAATATATTTATTTTTAGAAATGAGTTTTTATTACAATTTCATTTTTATCATGAAATGATTCTAATTTTAATATGTTAGATTGTGTTTCAAAATTACATAATCTATCAAATGTAATTTTTATAAAGTAATATATTTTTATAATTTTTTTTTATAAGGTGAAATATATTAGTACTAAAAAATATAAAATAATTAAATTTTTATTAATTTTAAAAAATAATATATTATGGAGGCTCAACATAAAGGCCTCCATGTTAATTCTAGAGGCCAACATGTTGGCCTCCGTAATTCAATTTTGGAGGCCAATAAATAATAATATTATTATAATTATTATTATAATAATATATAATATTATAAAATTATTATAATAATAATATAATTAAAATTTTAATAATTTTAATATTAAAATTATTTTAAAAAAAATTAGTTTTTAAATTTTTTTAAAAACAATAAATTTTATAATTTTAATAATATATATATATATATATATATATATAGAATTTATTATTATTATTTTTATTATTTAAATTATG